ATATATTTAATCACACGCGCACGCGCACACACAAGAGATCCGTGCATATCCCCGGGGGACCAGAACCCCACACCCAAACCACACCCACAGCAACCGGTGCCGGAAAGAAAGCAAAACCCAACGAGAGAGAGAGAGAGAGAGAGAGAGAGAGAGAGAGAGAGAGAAAAAGAGAGAGAAGGGGGAGCGGGAAGACCTGCACGGCCCCCCGAGCCGAGGGCCCAGCCAGCGCGGGGGCGTGCCGAGGCAGGCTCACTTTTTGTTCTTCAGCTGGTTGGCCAGCCAGTCCAAGCCCTCGTACAGGCCGTCGCCGCTCGTGGCGCACGTGGCCTGGATGTACCAGTTGCGGTGGCGCAGGGAATGCAGACCCAGCTTGTCCGTGATCTCTGCCGCATTCATGGCGTTGGGCAGGTCCTGGGGGGAGAGGGTGGGGGTCAGCCCTGGACACATCCGGCTGGCCGGATGGGTGGGGAGGGGAGAGCCCCCAACGCACCTGCTTGTTGGCAAAGACAAGGAGCACAGCGTCCCGCAACTCATCCTCCGCCAGCATCCGCATGAGCTCCTCACGCGCCTCATTCACCCGCTCCCGGTCGTTGCTGTCCACCACGAAGATCAGGCCTGGGGGGTGTGCGGCACTGAGCTGGGGGGGGACCCACACTTCCCGCAGCCTGGACGGGGCAGGGAGAGACCCCCAGGGCGCCCTGCGGAGAGAGGGGAAGGCCCGCACCTACCCTGGGTGTTCTGGAAGTAGTGTCGCCAGAGAGGCCGGATCTTGTCCTGCCCACCCACGTCCCACACGGTGAAGCTGATGTTCTTGTACTCGACCGTCTCCACGTTGAACCCTGCAGCGCAGTGGAGAGGGGGGTCAGTGCCGGCATGGGACGTGCCGCGGCGGCTGTCCCAGGCCAGAGACCTGGCAAATTCATCTCACCTGGGGGCCACCAGCCCCTCTGGATCCTGCCAGATGGCTCCCAGCCCCCCTCCCCGGCCGGGTCCCCCTTGGCCCATACCAATGGTGGGGATGGTGGTGACGATCTCGCCCAGCTTCAGCTTGTAGAGGATGGTGGTCTTGCCGGCGGCATCCAGCCCCACCATCAGGATGCGCATCTCCTTCTTGCCGATCAGGCTCTTCAGAAGGTTGCCGAAGATGTTGCCCATGGTGCTGTTGGCGCGGCACGGACACCCCTCTTGGCTCGCCCGTCCGGCTGACCCCTGGGGCAGGAGCGCGCAGGCTGGGACAGGGCCCTGGGAGCAAAGAGGCTCCCGGCTGCCCCAGCTCAGCCCAGCCGTGGCCAGGGGCCAAGAGGAGACCCCGGCAAAGCCCGTAGGCCAGCTCTGTGCGCCCGCAAGGGGCCGTTCTGGCTGCGTCACAAAGAGGAGAGGCAGTGCCAGGCTCTGCCCGGCGCCACACGGCGCCCAGATGGCAGCCCCGGCTCCCCTCGGGTCCCCTGCCCCCGGCACATCCCGGGAGCCAGGCAGGAGCGGGGTGGAGGCCAGCCCCTGCCACCGTCTGTAGGGCAGACGGGGAAACTGAGGCGCGGCGCAGGGGTAGGGGGCACCGGGGCTGCCTGTTTGATCCCACGGCCCCCAAACAGGCCCAGCTGTGGCTCCGCCGGGCCCCGCGCCGCCCTGACCCAGAGCACCCCCGGGCGCTCAGTGCCCAACCCCAGCCTGGACTGGGACGTGGGCGAGGCTGCCCTACTGCACCCCCCCGCCCCCCAACCTGGCACAGGGCAACTTGGTGGGCCCTCCCGGGGGGGGCACAGAGGGCCACAGCCCCAGGACCCAGCATAGCTCCCCCCAGCTCCTGGCCCCAAGCCCTGCTGGGGAGGGGGCTCAGCCCCTTCTGTTATGGGAGCCACGTTCCTGCTGGGGGGGCCCAGGCCCAA